GGGCGGGTCCCCGCGCGTCACACGCCGGGCCACGCGGGTGAGGCACCGTCACGCCCTCCCACGGACCCACGCGCTTCCCCCCGCACGCGGGACCACTTGCAACGTCACAACGTGCTCCCCACGTCCGCGCGCAGTGTCGCTCCCTCACACGGGGTCGCACAGGGTCAACCTTCAGGCTGTCACACGCCGCCGCACACACGGGGGCCCACACTGGAACAGGGTCCCCCGGCGCCACACACGATGACACGTCCGGATGGGGCCACCACCGACAACAACAACGTGGTGTCACACACAACCACGCATGTCACGCAGTCGCACACGCCCGGGCAGTCACAAAGTGTCACACCTGCACACATCACGAACAGCTTCGCAATCGGCATCAAACATTTTACACACTCACACTTGTCACGCCAGTCACCCAGCCACGTGGGGGGACGCGTCCTGCACTGCTGCACACTCATACACCACAGTCACAGCAAGCCCCAGAGAGCATCACTGTAACACCCACAGCCGCACACAGCTGAGACCAGCGTCACACACCCTGCGTGACACCGGGGGTCTCACACACTGTCCCAGTCGAGGAGTCAGTCACACACTCCACTACGGCTTATGCTCCACACTCACGCCCGATCACACGGGCTGACACACACTGTCACCCCCCGCGCCACCACAAGGTCACAAAAGAGCGGCATCGGTGCCGACCACACGTGGGGTCTCACAGTCACGCTGTAGCACGAAGGATAGCATAAGTGTCACCACAATCACGCGCGCCCTTGTGGGTACTTAGGTTCACGCGGATCACACCGGTACTTAGACACGCAGCTACACGGTGTCACGCCCACGCACCCACCCCGTCCCCCTTCACAGTCCCCTTGCTGCTGGAGAGGCACCTGGGCGGCAGTGCGCGTACCGGGTCGGCCCAGGAGCACTGAAGGAGCGGGCGGGAGCCCGAAGTGCGCGGTGGGCGTGGCTTCCCTCCCGCCCCGCCCCGAGTGGCTAGAGCGCGGAGGCGGGGCGCTGAGTGACAAGCTCTCCTGGCCCCGCCTACTCGCGCCCTTCCTAGAGGCAGGAGTGGCTCCAAGTCGGTCGGGGTGGGTAGTGCTGCGCGGTAAGGACTGCGACCTGACGCCAGTCAGACCTGCTCTCGTTCTTTTCTGCGGGAAACGGAGTTTCTTCCGCCTGAACGGGGGCGGGGCGCGGGCGGTACCTTCTGATCCGCTCCGCCCCGTCCCTCCGTCTAGAGCAGGGGGACGGCACCGCCCAGCAGCCATTGGGTTCCCGCGAGTCCTGTGTCTCGGACGCGCGCGGCAAACCCAGGACCAGGACCCCCAGCATGGCTGTCAAGAAGATCGCGATCTTCGGCGCCACTGGCAGGACCGGGCTCACCACCCTGGCGCAGGCGGTGCAAGCAGGCATGAGCCGGGGCCGGTGGGGGATATCGTGGGGCACACGGGCAGACATTAGGGAGGGTTTTCTCGGGGCTGAGGGCCAGGCCCAGGGGCCGCCAGTCCCTATTTGAGATGTGTGAAGGTTCGGGGAGCCAAGCCGGTGGCCACGGGGCACAAGTGGAGGAAGCTACGAGATTCAGTTTTATGGGAGTGCAAGGCATAGACGTTGGCCGTGGGAGCCTGGGGGACTCCAGCGACAAGGTTAGATGTAAACCTAGGGCTCTTATGAAATGTGCGTGGTTGTGGTTGTCATTGTGCTGGTGGTGGGTTCATCGGCTTGCTGCCCCGTGCCGCCCTCCTGCCACGTGATTAAATCCTGGCCGCCCTCATTTAGAGCTGGAAATGACATTACCCCACTTGACCGAAGAGAAAACAGAGGCCCTAAGCCAGGCATGGTGACGTGTGCCTGTAATATGTCAACACTCCAGAGGTTGAGGCAGGTGAGTTGGAGACCAGCCTGGGCTACATAGAGAGCTCAAGACCAGTCGAAACTACAGAGCAAGAACCAAGACTCTGCCCCCCGCCCCCCCAAAAAAGGAAGAGAAACAAAAAACTGAAACTCAGAGAATGACTTATTCACACAGCTGGTAGGAGGCAGTGCTGGGATTTGAACCCAGGTCACGCTCTTAAACATCAAAAATGTCTGCAGATTCTGAGCTTGGATCCTAACTTGGAAACGGAAAAGATTAAGTGTAGGTTGTTGTGAGTACGAAACAGAGAGGTCACAGAGACACTGAGTGAAGACCTGGGAACCCTAGCTTTGGAAAAGTCCATAAGGCTGAAAATTCAGAGGTGGGCCAGAGAGGGTGCGGCATCCCCCGGCACACCATGCCCCCTAAACCCACAGTTTACCAGCTCCCGGCTGGGTCTGGGACTTCCAGATACGGGCCTCACCCCTGTTAGCCCTAGTAATTGAGATAGTAGCTATCTGTGTGCCCCAAAAAGGGTGGAGGCCACGCGGCCTCCCAGGACTCTGCTGTCTCAGCCCAGCCTCCCTTGGAGGGACTCTTCAGTGTCCTCTTCCCCAGGGTCCTCAGGAAGGTCCTGATTTTTGTCGAGGAAAGGAGCCTGGCCTCTGAGTAGAAGCAGTGTGCTGATAAGCATTTCTAGGGGAGCAGTGGGAAAGGAAGAGGGAGAAGTTGAGATGTGCTGAGTCACCCTGAAAATCTGGACTCGTGACCGCCTTCTACTTAATGCCCAGTGCCGCTGGTTTTTGCTGTCCCACCCTGCTGGTCACAGCTGGGACAGCACCCAGGGAACTTGAGAGCTGGAGCCTAGGGAAGGCCCTGCAGGCTCCCTGTGGCTCTGAAGGACTGTGCTGCCCCTATCACAAATTGCAAGGGCTTGGATGGGTAGGGTTTTATTGACCTCAGTGTGATTTTATAGGGTGTGACAGAGGCCCTGCTCTACAGCGCACACCTGTAATCCCAGCCACTGAGCAGAAATTCAAGGATAGCCTGGCCAACTTAATGAGATTCCATCTCAAAATTTTAAAAAAGTAAGGGTTTGGTGATTGTATAGCTCAGCGGTCCCTGGGTCTAATCCCCCACTAATACCAAAGAAATTTTTCTTTCTTTGTTTTGAGGCAGGGTCTTACTATGTAGTTCAGGCTGGCCTTGAACTCATTTCTGTAGCCCAGGCTGGTCTCGAACTCACAGTGATCCTTCTGCCTCAGCTTCCTTTTTTTTTTCTTTTTTTTTTGGTACCGGAAATCGAACTCAGGACCTTGCGCTTGCCAGGCAGGCGCTTGTACCACTGAGCTATATCCCCGGCCCTGCCTCAGTTTCCTGAGTGCTGGGATTACAGGCCTATGCCACCATGCCCAGCTACATTAAAAAAATTTTTTTAATAAAAGAAGTAAAATAAGATCCTGAGCTATACTGGTTCTGATGCAGCCTGCCTCACATTCACTACCTGTGTGACCGAATAACTTGCACCTAGGTGTTTATAAAATGAGGACAAATCGATGGGAGGCTGAGGTAGAGGATCGAGAGTTCCAGCCCAGCCTGGCCAATTTAGTGACTTATCAAGACCCTGTCTCAAAATTTTGAGTTGGGATTGAGCTCAGTGCAAAGGTCCTGGTTCAATCCCCTGTATCACTAGCTCGCTAACTAAATAGGGAATGAATCTAGTAGTGCTTGCCCTGAGATGCTTATAATGATTAAATGAGATACTATCTGTGAAGTGCTTAGAACCATAGCTAATGCATGGTTGGTGCTCTCTGGCCGATTAGATTCTCTCTTTTTTTTTTGTCTTTTTGAGACAGGGTCTCGCTATGCGATTCAGGCTGGCCTTGAGCTCACTTTGTAGCCCAGGCTAGTCTCGAACTTGGATTGATCCTCCTGTCTCAGCCTCCCGAGTGCTGGGATTACAGGCGTGCACCACCATGCCCGGGTTGGCTGACTAGATTCAGATTATAGCTTCATGCTATATTCAGCAGGCTCTGGATCAGACTCATTTAGGTAAAAAGTTTTACTTTCTCCACCTACTAGCTGTGGCCCTGGCCCAATTACCTAAAATTGCCTCAATTTCTGCATCCTCAAAGTAGGTGTGATAATAATTACCTTGTAGAATTGTTGTGTTTCTCAAACTGTGGGCCACAGTGAGTTCTGAAATATATTTAATGGGTCACCATGCTATCAGAATCACATGTTAAATATCTGTTCTATAAAATTTTGGATTTGTTCTTCTTTTTCTTTCTTTTCTTTCTCTCTTTCTTTCTTTCTTTCTTTCTTTTTTTTTTTTTTTTGTTCTTTTTGATACAGAATTTCACTATGCAGTTCAGGCTGGCCTTAAACTCACTTTGCAGCCCAGGCTGGTCTTGAACTCAAGGAGATCCTCCTGCCTGAGCCTCCCGAGTGCTAGGATTACAGGCACAAGCTACCACACCTGGCTTAAAATTTTTGTTTTATATGTGTTTGGTACACTGGGTTAGGCAGCAAAACATATTTTGTACTAAGGGTTGATATAAAAAAAACTCTGAGCCAGGTGTGGTGGTGCATGCCTGTAATCCCAGCATTTGGGAGGCTGAGGCAGGAGGATCTTTGTGATTTCGAGAACAGCCTCGGCTACAAAGTGAGCTAAAGGCCAGCCTGAACTATATAACAAGACCGTCTCAAAAAGACAAAAAAGTGCCTGCCTGGCAAGTGCAAGGTCCTGAGTTTGATTCGCGGTACCAAAAAAAAAAACCCTGTGTCAAAAAACAAAAACTCTGCAACTTACTCTTGAATAGTTAAGGGAAAATATGTATATTCCTATATGTATAAGTATATATATAAATGTATGTAATTATGCGTGCTATATATGAGTGACGGCGAATATTTTGGAGACCAAGTGCCCAAACTGCAATCCAAATCCCACTTATTTATCACAAAGTGCCAACACTGCAATTAAACCTGAATACTGAGGTTTTAGTTTAGAAAAACAACCGTTATCTGATGCTCGGCTGCAGGGGCAACTTGGCTTACATGCCGACAGAGAGGACTCTGTGTGTCTGCTGAGATATATGTGCCATAGGTTCACCACCACTGCTATGTATTATATATACACATAAAGAGAGGGGAGCCAGGTGGGGTGGCTCACACCTGTAATCCTACCACTAGAGAGGCTTAGGCAGGAGGTTTGTGATTTCAAAACCTGTTTACATAATTGAGTTCAAGGCCAGGCTAGATGACTTAGTGAGATCTTATCTCAAAAAAACAAACAAGAGGCTGGGGATTTAGCTCAGCGGCACAGCACCTGCCTGGCAAGCGCAAGGTCATGAGTTCGATTTCCCGTACTGGAAAAAAAAAAAAAAAAGAGAGAGAGAGAGAGCAGGACAGAGTAGGCAGGGAGAATAAAGGAAAAGCAAAGATGAAATATTTGAGTTTTGTAAACTGGATGTGGTGGCACAAAGCTGTAATCCCAGCACTCAGGAGGCTGAGGCGGGAGGATTACCATAAGTTTGAGGCCAGCCTGGACTACATAATGAGTCCAAGCCCAACTTGAACTACATAGTGAGACCCTGTTTCAAAACACAAAACAAATTAAGTGCAAATTTAATTTGGGGAGGGGTGGTACTAGGGAGCCCAAACTGTTTTTTAAAAATCAGCCCATTAATTCATAGGCCTTGTTCAGTACTTGGCACATGGGGAGACCCTCATGAGTGCGGTACTCATCTCTAATACGGGAGCACTAACAGAGACCTTTGTGATGAGCTTTGCCAAAGTGCTCGCTGTCCAGAGAACAGGCATCTTAGCCTGACAGTGGGTGACTCCTATTTCCCATGGTGCTGGAGGCTGAGGAGCCCAAGAGGCTGGTGCCTGAAGTGGGGCCAGCTTCTCAGAGGTGACGCCTCTAGCTAGCTGCAGCCTCACCTGGCCTCAGGGGCTCCTAGCTCTGTGGGGTTTGTTTTGTTTTATTTTTAAATTTTTTTCTGGTACCAGGAATCGAACTCACGACCTTGCACTTGCCAGGCAGGCACTGTGCCACTGAGCTAAATCCCCAGCCTTCTGTGGATCTCTTTCATAAAGGCACCACATTCTTATT